TTTCTCTCTCTCTCTCTCTCTCTCTCTCTCTCTCTCTCTCTGTGTCTCTCTCTAGTCAAATTAAAATAAAATGAATGAATAAATAAAATTAAATAATTTTAATTAAAAAAAATAAGCATGGGGCCAGAAGGGGGCGTGGTGGTTAAGGTGCTGGACTCCCACATGGCCGGCCACGGTTTGAGTTCCACACCTGGAGGCTTGCTTTCTCAGCTTTCCTCTCTCCAATCAAATTTTAAAAATAAAATAAATAAATAAAATTAAATATTTTTTTTTAAAAAAGCATAAACTGTAAGTTACTGGACCTTTTCAAAATAAGCATGGGGCCAGAAGGGGGCGTGGTGGTTAAGGTGCTGGACTCCCACATGGCCGGCCACGGTTTGAGTTCCACACCTGGAGGCTTGCTTTCTCAGCTTTCCTCTCTCCAATCAAATTTTAAAAATAAAATAAATAAATAAAATTAAATATTTTTTTTTAAAAAAGCATAAACTGTAAGTTACTGGACCTTTTCTTCTATGTCGATATAAGTGTTACATAAACAGACAAAACTCGTGCGATACTCCTGTTGATCTGGCCCACAGCTCCACAGACACGGGCAAGTGCCCAGAATATTCCTGGAACTGTGGAAGCACACCGGGGACAGAACGAGTAAGAGGCAGTTCTTAATTCCTGACTTCAGTCTAGGCAGGGAAATCTATGAGTAAAGAGAAACTCAGAAAATAGTGCGACCAGAAACCTGGTATTTGTCACTTCATCCAGCTGGATCTTTCTTTTTCTAAAATTACATAAAGTCTTTATCAAAATTAAAATAAAACATAAGGAGAGGGCCAGTTCCATGGTCTGGTAGTTAAGGCAGATGGATCTCACATGGCTGACTGTCTGGTTTGAGTCCCGGACCCGCAGCTTACAGAACACACCGGGTGTATGTGCTGCATGCCCAACATCCCGAAAGGAGGGAGAAAGGATTACAGCGTGACCACCCCATGGGGGTGCTTTCTCCTCCCTATCTCTGTCTCTTTGGTGAGCACCCATGCCCTAGAGCAAAAAAAAAAAAAATAGGTGGGAAGAAAAATCACCAATACTGTAGTTCAGAGCGAAAGACTCAGCAGAAATGCCACCAACAGCTGACGAGGCAGCAGAGGCTTGAAGAGCTCACGTCCGAGTTCTTCTCCACTGACTGATGTGCCTGCCCCTCTGCACAACACCGCACTTGGTCTATTGGTGACCACTGCAATGCTGCATGCAGCTTCCTAGCCAGAGGTTCTCCTTAGAAATACCACCCAACTGGGGCCGGCAGATGGCATGGTGGTTAGGGTGCTGGACTCCCACATGGTCAACCATGGTTCAAGTCCTAGACCTGGAGGCTTGCTTTCTCTCTCTCTCTGGTCAAAATTTAAAATAAATAAATAATAAATAAATAGTCCTTAAAAAAGGAGAAACTTTAAAAAAAAATACCACTGAATAACACATCTCCTTAAATCCATGATCAGCAGTGACTCTCAACAGTAATGAGAAAGACTGGACAACTTAAAAACAAAGAAGGACGAGTAGGTAGTGTGGTGGTTGGGACACTGGACTCCCATATGACCAGCAGTGGTTCGAGTCCTGGACCTACCGGCATGCTTTCATACTTTCCCTCTCTCTCTCCGTCTCTCTCTGGTCAAATTAAAAACATAATAATGTACATCATTATAATTTAAAATAATAATATATAATAATAAAATGATAAATAAAATTAAATAATTCTAGAAAAAGAAAATCACAACAAATTAATTAATTAATTAAATAATAAATAAGAACAAAGAAAGAAGGCCAGTCAGGTCGCATGGTGGTTAGGGTGGCTGGATCACACATAACTAAGTGGTTCAAGTTCCGCATCTGGTGGCTTGAACAGGATTATGTGCCCAGAATCCTAAGAGGAAAAAGGAAGAGAAGGGATTCTGGCATGGCCGTCCTCCTCAGGGAAGTGATTTCTCACTTTTCTACTCTTTCTGTCTCTGTCTTTGTCTCTGTCTCTCTCTCTGGCCCTATAGCAAAAATCTAAAGGAAGGAAGGATGGAAGGGAAGAGAGAAGGGAGGAGGGATGACACCATGCAGAGTGTTCTATGAGCCAGGCAGCTCTCTAAAACTGTTCAGCTAAACGTCAATACCATCTCATTCACAAGAGTCAGGTGTCAGCCATGCTCACGTGCTGCTTGTCCCATCCACATACCTGGTCTAAGGTCTCTCCTCCAGGTGGTGTGAATACGGGGCATTCCTCCCCTGCCGCTTTGGCCATGGCCCTGAGCTCACTGAGCGCCTTGGATTCCGCAATCCCGTACTTCTGCAATGGTCCATAGAGAAAGACACCTCAGATGACACTGTGACACGGCCGTGAAGGACATGCCGAGGGCAAAGTTGGAGCAACCATCCCAGCAATGAGCTTAGCTTCCCTCGTACTCCATCTTTTCTCCTCTGAACCGGTAATGGGAATGTCCTCAGCAGAGGGCCCTGGGCCCTCAGACGAATGTGCCCGGAGGCTAACTGTCCGCCATGTCTGGGCTGGCTGGCTGAACTCGCTGAATCCAGCTCATCTATGCGGACAGCTCATCGAGCTACCTCACTGGACAAATAAGATGGGCACGAATTCTAGGGCGGGAGACCAACCTGTGACAGGCAGCGGGTCAGCCACCTCACATTCATACACTGTCTCAGAGAGCAGAACAATGGCACCACGAAACAGGTGTATAAACACCTCCGCTTATTCACCGACGAGGAAGCTGAGCTCCAGAGGTTAGGCAACCAGCCTACATGCTTTTGGCCAATTATGGGCAAAGTTGAAATTCAAGCCCAGGTCTGTACGACTTCAAAGCTCATTGGCTTTGTAGAGTCATCAAGATTTTGCCTGAGGCCCAGTCGTGGTGGCACAGGTGTGTGTGTGTGTGGGGGGGAAGGGGACAATGACACTGGAGCCGTATAGGAAGGCCCATGTTTGGGCCCATTGGACGAGCTCAACATGCCAGGTGTGCCCGTGTTGCTTCCGTGATCCTGGCTGGCTGGAAGGCTGGGGAGGGTCACAGCATGGCAAAATCCTGTCAGGAGGTAGGCCTCTATTTTTCTCTCTTCCTATCTTTCTCATGACATAAACAAACAAACTGGAAAAAAAAAAAAAAACTGAGTCCAAGCAAAGGGCATTCAAGAATTACAAATGGCTAAGAATCATGAAAAACCGCATTATTCTCACTTTTAATTCCTTCAAATGGTTAACAGCCTACTTGCATGATAAAGTACTTCAAGAGCCGCATCATTGTTCATGGTTTTCACTGACATTGTCAAAAGACTCGCACCACCATCACGTACAATTCCCTTGGCTGTAAGTCGGCACTCTTCCAACACTGGGACTTCAAGTCCCAACGCTTATGTCCTTAACTAAGTCTGGGGCAACTTCTACCAATCTCTATTACAAAGAGGGTCATTAACAACCATTATCTGCAGGGTCAGTCCACAGCCAGGTGGTTAAGGCAGCTGGATCCCACAGAGTTGACCATGCGGTTCAAGTCCCAGGCCTGGCAGCTTAAAAAACATGCCAGGTATGTGTGTGCACACCCAAAATCTGGAAAGAGAAAGGAATGGAGAAGGGACTGCAGCATGACCGTGCCCCATGGAGGATACCTCCCTCCCTCCCCGGGAAGTTTGAGATCTGTGGGAGGCCGGTGACCAGCGGTCCAGAGCACAGCCTCTGAGCTGGGCAGCCTCGATGTGAATCCCAGTTTGGCCACATACTAGCCATGTGATCCTGGGCATGGGCTTGACCTCTGTGTGCCTTTCTGCATTTGTAAAATGGCAATTTAAAATGAGGGTTTTGCGGGGGCCAGCAGGTGGCATAGCAGTCACAGTGCTGGACTCCCATATGGCCACCTGTGGCTGAAGTACTGGGCCCGGTGCCTTGAAAGTCACACCAGGCATGTGTGCTTGCATGCCCGAAGTTCCAGGAGGAGAAAGGAGGAGGAGGGATTGTGGCACGGCCATCCTCCCTGGGGAGTGATTTCTCATTTTCCTTCTCACTGTCTCTGTCTCCTTCTGGCGAGCGTACATACCCTATGGCAGAGGTTTTTTAACCTTCACAACTGTGGGCTGCTGTAAAGATGAGCAATCCTGCAGTACTTGGAAAGGGCTGGCACGTGGTGAGTGCCGGTAAACGCACACTAACGTCGTCACTCACGCTGCAGCGCTAAGCCCGAGGGAAGAAATGGCAAGCTGAGGGGACAGATCAGATCACACAGCATCTGGAGACCCAGGTGGGAGGGATGGAAGAGTCTGAGACCAGCAGGTGGCATGGAGGGTAAGGCAGCTGGATCCCACATAGCCAACTCAGCAGTTTGAGTTCAGGACCCAGCAGCTTGAAAACCACACAGGGCTCGTATGTGTGCGTGCCCCAAATCCCAATATGTGTTGAATGGAGGAGAAGGGATTGAAGCAGGGTCATTCCCCCTGAGCAGTGATTTCTCACCACCACCACCATCCCCCCAACCCAGTCTCTGTCTCTCTTTAGTGAGCACACATGCCCTATAGCAAAGAATAAGTTTAAAAAGTGATGGAAGTCTGGCCAGCCTCTCGAAGGTAGAAGAGAAGCATGAACTGCTTTACACAGGGGCATGGGTATCACACTTCCCAAGGTCTCCTCTGGCTGCAGCATGGAGAAGGTGAGAGGGAAAACAGGAGAATCAGCAATGCATTGCACGGATCAAGGTAAGACGACACTGATGGCAACCGGATGGTGGGTCTGCCGGGAAAGTAACTTAGAACTATGCAGAGGTAGAACTGATGAGCTGGTGACAGGCCATGCGGTGTGGCCACTGAGCCGGAAGCAGCTTCAAGGTGAACAGCAGGCAAGACTGGCCCCAAGGCCAACTGCTTAGGGGAGCTGGGCCCCACATGGTTGACCATGGTTCAAATCCCAGCCCTGGTGGCCTGAAAAGCAAGTCAGGTCTCTGTGTGTACCCCGAATCCCAACAGGATGGAGAGATAAAGGGGGAGGGGTTGTGGTGTGACCACACCCAACCAGAGAGTACTTTATCCCTCTCCTCTTTCTGTCTGTCTGTCTCTGGCGTGTACACTCTGGAAATTAAAAAAATAAAAATACATATAATAAAAGAAAAGCAACAAACAGCAGGCAGTTAATGTGCAAGTGTGCAGCACCACTAATACAAAAATGTGGACTCGCCAGGCGGTTAACTGAAACCATGGGAGAACATGGAACTGCTCAGACAGCGCGGAGTCAGGAAGGCTGGCCTGGCCCTGCAGCCATGCTCTCTTACCACGTGACGACAGGCCGAGAACACCCTGTTTAACGACACTAGAACATCGGTTGCCAGCAAAGAGGAGGCCTTTCCAAGCAGTGTTCAGGCTGCAGCTCTAGAATATATTTTGAACTAACAGAGAATAAAAATAGCAATTCTTTTTAAAATGTCTAGCCATTTGGTTCCATTTCTAACCAGGTATAAAGGAAGTCCCAGGCCCAGCCACAGAAATGCAGGGAGTAGGGGTCCTGCCACACACTGCTGGAGTCATCGGGAAAGGCCGGGGTTTGCATTCCAGGGCTACCTGAGCACACCAGACATGCCTGCAAGCACACCGGCAATCCTGGCTGGCTGCAGAGCGAGGAGGAAGACTACGGAATAAGACCCTGTCAAGGGTGCCTGGCTCTGTCTCTCTCTCTCTGATGAAGGAAACAAATAAGCTTACTTAAGGGGGAAAAAGCGGGGGAGGGCAGCCCTGTAGAACAGTTGGTTCACTGCCATGCATTGGAAGCCAGATCCCACACGGCCAAATTCTGGCCTCGTGGTCTGCAACACAGGCCAGGCACGTGTGTGTGCACATCCAAAATCTTGACAGAGAGATGGAGGACAAGGGGTCATGGCCATGCCCTGTGAGGCATGCACCTTTTGGCAAAGAAAGAACTCACAGAGCTGGCAGGAACGCTAATGAGCTTACAGGTCAGTGTTACGAAACATAATAAAATACTGCTCTGGGAGGAGGCCTGGACTCAAATCCCAGCTTCGAAGTTGCTACAAGACTTTAAATCCCAGCTCTGGGAAGCTTCATTTCTGGTATATAAACTGGGCAGTAAAGCAATGTATTCACGCTTACAATCGGAGAGAATTGGGAAGTGAGGGGAGAAGTTTTCACTTTCAGCTTTTGTATACTGTGTCGTCATGACGGGTATACGTCCTTTTATGATTTAAGATGCGCCTACTTAAAAAAAAACAAGTAAGGTACTATATGTGAGGGGAGGTGACAGTGACTATCACATAGGAGATTCTTAACATCTAAGCTGATTCCAAATCTCCACCACAGTTGCCTTTCAATTTTTGCCATGTGCAAAACTGAGGTAGCTTACCAATAATTTGTGATAAAGAACAATATGTAAATAAGTTACTTACCCTTTCTCGAAGTCTTGAATCATACTTTACTGTCATGTCTTTGCAAAATTTGGTGTTCTTCAAAATCTCATGCATGGTCTGAAAATCAAAAGACAACTGTGTATTTTCTTACAAAAATCATTATTATTCTGGCTGAAACATCAAGATAATACGTGTCATCTTAATGAATAAAAAGGGATTGGAAATAATTTTCCTTTATAAAAGGTGCTTCTAGGGACCAGCAGTTGGCGTAATGGCTGTGTTGCTGGACTCCAATGTAGTCAACTGCGGTTGGAGTCCTGGACCCAGTGGCTTAAACTCCCGCCGGGTGCCGTGTGCGTGCGTGCCCAAGATCCTGAGAGGAGAATGGAGGAGAAGGGATTGCAGCATGGCCATCTCCCCAGGGGGTGATTTCTCACTTTCTATTTCTCTTTCTGTCTGTCTTTCTGGCAAGCGCGCGTGCCATACTCATGTGTAATTTTGCTACTTTCTTCTAACCTATCTTCTAATTCAAAGGTCAGCAAACCACAGCCCACAAGCCAAATCCAGATCATCACCTGCAGTTATGAATAAAGTTTTATTAGAACATAGCCAGACCATTCATTAGGTATTGCCCATGGTTGCCTTCCCATTACAACAGCAGTTAAAAAGCTATGACAATGACCATGTCTCCCAAGAAACCTATTTATTATCTCACTCTTTTTTTTCTTTAAAGAATTATTTGTTTCATTTTATTTATTCATTCACTTATTTTGACCACAGAGAGACATAGGGTGGGGAGGGAGAGTGAGAAAGCAAGTCACCAGGTCCAAGACTTGAGAATCGTGGTCAGCCATGTGGGAGCGTTTGACACCTTAACCACCATGCCACCTGCTGGTCCCCAATCTGGCTCTTTTCAGAAAAGGTTTACTAACTCATTTTAGTTCCTTAATCCTCCACTCTGTATTTAAATGGTTGTCAAACCCAATCATTGAGCCTTAGTTCCAATTATATTTTCAGTTCTGGTATTTGGTTTTTGTTTACAGTTTGTTTTTTACCGTTTTCTGCATGAATTCTCAATGTCCTCTTTCATCTATGTATAAAATGGTAATTCTAAAGTCTTTGTCTGATAACTCCAATTATCAGATAACTCCTGTGTCTGTCTCTGCTGTCTTTTGTTTTTACTCATCTTTTTTTTTTTCATGTTTCCTTCTCTCTTTGTATGTCTGGTTATTTCTGATTGACAACAGATCCTGTATTTGCAAAACTGGATGAACTAAGTCCACGATCTACTTTGTCTATTTCCCTTCCCATAAACTAGACATTATTACATTATTATCATTACCGTTTTATAGATGCAGTCAATATTTGTTTGTTTTTGTATAGGGCATATGTACTTCCAGAGATAAACAGAGACAGATAGAAAGAAGGAAAGTGAAAAATCACCATGGGGGGATGGCCATGCAGCAATCCCTTCTCCTCTAGTCTCTCAGGATTTGGGGCACGCATGCACATGTATTCAGTAGGGTTTTCAAGCTGCTGGCCCAAGACAAACTGCATTTGGCTATGTGAGATCCAGTGCCTTAACCTCCACGCCACCTACTGGCCCACGCTGTCAATGTTTCTTTACATTTGCCTATGCTTCTTTTTTTATTATTACTATTATTTTCTTCACTTTCATCAGAGAAAGAGAGAAAGGGAAAGTGAGAGAACAAGCCGCCAGGTCCAGGGCTCAAACCACAGTCAGCCATGTGGGAGTCCAACGCCTTAACCACCACCACACCACCTGCTGGCCCCATATTTGCCTATATTTTACCAATTTCTTCGCTATCAATTTTCTGAAACTCAGACCCTCCTCCTGGATTTGTCTTCCTTCTCTTTGTGTTGCTGGACTCCAATGTAGTCAACTGCGGTTGGAGTCCTGGACCCAGTGGCTTAAACTCACGCCGGGTGCCGTGTGCGTGCGTGCCCAAGATCCTGAGAGGAGAATGGAGGAGAAGGGATTGCAGCATGGCCATCTCCCCAGGGGGTGATTTCTCACTTTCTATTTCTCTTTCTGTCTGTCTTTCTGGCAAGCGCGCGTGCCATACTCATGTATAATTTTGCTACTTTCTTCTAACCTATCTTCTAATTCAAAGGTCAGCAAACCACAGCCCACAAGCCAAATCCAGATCATCACCTGCAGTTATGAATAAAGTTTTATTAGAACATAGCCAGACCATTCATTAGGTATTGCCCATGGTTGCCTTCCCATTACAACAGCAGTTAAAAAGCTATGACAATGACCATGTCTCCCAAGAAACCTATTTATTATCTCACTCTTTTTTTTCTTTAAAGAATTATTTGTTTCATTTTATTTATTCATTCACTTTTTTTGACCACAGAGAGACATAGGGTGGGGAGGGAGAGTGAGAAAGCAAGTCACCAGGTCCAAGACTTGAGAATCGTGGTCAGCCATGTGGGAGCGTTTGACACCTTAACCACCATGCCACCTGCTGGTCCCCAATCTGGCTCTTTTCAGAAAAGGTTTACTAACTCATTTTAGTTCCTTAATCCTCCACTCTGTATTTAAATGGTTGTCAAACCCAATCATTGAGCCTTAGTTCCAATTATATTTTCAGTTCTGGTATTTGGTTTTTGTTTACAGTTTGTTTTTTACCGTTTTCTGCATGAATTCTCAAATGTCATCTTTCATCTATGCATAAAATGGTAATTCTAAAGTCTTTGTCTGATAACTCCAATTATCAGATAACTCCTGTGTCTGTCTCTGCTGTCTTTTGTTTTTACTCATCTTTTTTTTTTTCATGTTTCCTTCTCTCTTTGTATGTCTGGTTATTTCTGATTGACAACAGATCCTGTATTTGCAAAACTGGATGAACTAAGTCCACGATCTACTTTGTCTATTTCCCTTCCCATAAACTAGACATTATTACATTATTATCATTACCGTTTTATAGATGCAGTCAATATTTGTTTGTTTTTGTATAGGGCATATGTACTTCCAGAGATAAACAGAGACAGATAGAAAGAAGGAAAGTGAAAAATCACCATGGGGGGATGGCCATGCAGCAATCCCTTCTCCTCTAGTCTCTCAGGATTTGGGGCACGCATGCACATGTATTCAGTAGGGTTTTCAAGCTGCTGGCCCAAGACAAACTGCATTTGGCTATGTGAGATCCAGTGCCTTAACCTCCACGCCACCTACTGGCCCACGCTGTCAATGTTTCTTTACATTTGCCTATGCTTCTTTTTTTATTATTACTATTATTTTCTTCACTTTCATCAGAGAAAGAGAGAAAGGGAAAGTGAGAGAACAAGCCGCCAGGTCCAGGGCTCAAACCACAGTCAGCCATGTGGGAGTCCAACGCCTTAACCACCACCACACCACCTGCTGGCCCCATATTTGCCTATATTTTACCAATTTCTTCGCTATCAATTTTCTGAAACTCAGACCCTCCTCCTGGATTTGTCTTCCTTCTCTTTGAATTAGACTTTGAAAGTGATATTAAAAGCTGTTTGTTTGAAATGTCTGTCTCACCTGTACCCTAGGAAAAGTTTCACTGGGTATAAAGGTCTAGGTTATCCTTATTACAATATCCCTCCGCACATTCAAGAAATGGCTATTGGGGGTCAGCAGGTGGTACAGTGGTTGAGGCACTGCGCTTCCACATGGCTAACCATGGTGTGAGTCCTAGACCCGGAGGCTTGAAACATGCTGGGCACATGTGCATGCATGCCTGCCTAAAATCCCAAGAGGCGAAGGGGTTGCAGCATGGACGTCCCCTCTGAGGGGTTATCTCTCTTTCTGTCTCTCCAATGAGAACACATGCTCTATAGCAAAAATCTCCCTCTAAAAAAAAAATTTTTTTTAATTAATGACTATTGACATTGACAAATTTGTTGGTAGCCTAACTACCGGTCTTTAGTGGGTGATATTTTTTCTCCTTATTCTTTGTAATCTTGTGATTTTGCCATAATGACTGTATATGTGGATTTCTTTTTCATTCGCCCTGATTGGAATTTGTTATACTTCCTAGATCTGAGAATTTGTCTCTCAATTCTATAAAACTGTCACCTCTGACCACTTTCTAGATCTGAGAATTTGTCTCTCAACAATTCTATAAAACTGTCACCTCTGACCACTTTGACTACTGACTATCCCTCATCCTGCCTGCTAACTTTTTGAAAGTTATCAGAACTTCTCATCACGCTCTTCATGTGTTTTAAATTCTCATGCTTTAAAACTTCTGTCTTTAGATTACTACCTTATAAGTTAATGATCACTTCAATTGTGTGTAATCTGTAATTTAGTACAAATGCTAAGACTTTCGCTTATTTTATAAACTTTTCCGTATCTTTGACTGAATTACTTTTTAGTTTGCTATAGTGTATGTGTATATATAGAGAGAGCGAATGTGAGGGACCAGCAGTTAGCGTAATGGCTATGTCGCTGGACTCCCACGTAGTCGACCGCGGGTCGCGTCCCGGACCCGGTGGCTTAAAACTCACGCCGGGCGCGTGTGCGTACATGCCCAAGATCCCGAGAGGAGAATGGAGGAGAAGGGATTGCAGCGTGGCCATCCCCCTAGGGGGTGATTTCTCGCTTTCTATCTCTCTGTCTCTCTCTGTCTGGTGAGCGCATGCGCCCTATAGCAAAAACCTCTCCAAAAAAAAAAAAAAGAGAGAGAGAGAGAGAGAAAGAGCGAATGTGAGAAATCGCCCTGCAGGGGATTTGGCTCTCCTTTTGGGATGTTGGGCGGGCATGTGTGTACCCGTCCCAATGTTGTTCCTCCAGCCGCCAGGCCCGGGGCTCAGACTGCTCAGTAGTCCATGAGGGATCCTCCTGCCTCGATTACCATGTCACTTGCTGGCCTTCTATTATCTGTAAATCAACTTTACCAAGATAAAATTTACAAGAAAAAAAACGCCTATTTTTCAGTATACAGTTTCATTGAGTTTTGACAAAGGTACACACTCACTGAAGTGCCACCAAAATCAAGATAGAGAATTCTACTCAAAAGAGTCCTCCCCTTTCTGCCCATGCCAGTAAATCTTTCCCACCCCGACCCCTGCACAACCACTCATCTTCCTCATATCATAGCTGAGTCTTCTTTATTATT